CAAAAAACAAAAGTAAAAGATGTGATAATGCAAAACTAGAAAATTACCGGAATCTGAGAGCAAGTACATGAACATGATGAGTATTTTCAAATATAAAAAATTGGAACAACCAGACCAAAACTAAAAACGAAAGAATCAAACTTTTAAAATCAAGATTTTTAAGTTAGTGGGTACTAACTCGGCTAAGCTGCTGTTGGTAACTTTTAAGCTGTTCTCAAGCAAAGGAAAGACTTCAGAAAAAATTCCTGCACTTGTTATGCAAGAACATGAATCGGATCCAGTAAACACAAAGAAAACTAGTTTCAACTTAAGCAACCCATAAAAATTCAATACAAAGGCTATCAACAAGCTCAAGACTCAATCTTCAAGGAGAAAGGGAGAAACTTTTGAAGGACCGCAAACCCATTTACGAAACCCTAGAAAATTCCAGATACAATTAATGAAGGGTTTATGATACACTTAATCAAATTAATAATTATAAATAAATTATTAATTCTCATGATACAAATATGTTCATGTAAAAATTAGGAAAACTCACCACGCACACAAAATCCTTCAAAAGTTCACACGCGACGCCTCAATTCTGTGTCCTAAAGAAGTGATGGCTTCTCCTCCCACTGGCTTCTATTTTTCTTGTAAAAACTTAGATACTCTATTGACAAATTAATAGGTCTTATATATAGGGAGTTTATATAGTTAGACTAGAATTATAAATAGCATGTTGCGTGGGATACTTTTTGGGATCTTAATCTCTTAGCAAATTGAATTTAAATCAATTTAGGATTGTAATAAAAAAATCTATCAGTAGATAGCAATCTTATCTAAGAAATTACAGATAAAATTATGAGATCTTTCAAACCACAATATTTACATAATAGTCCTCCACCAACTAATATTTCATATAAAATCTAATCAAATTAGAATTGTTGTAAAACTATTGTCTAAAATTTGTATGTGTATCTCTTAAATATATTTAGACAATAAAAACAATTTAAAAAAATAAAATTTTGATAAAATTTAATTTTCTAAAACTAAGTTAAAATATTTATTTAAATTGATTGGCCGGATTTTTGTCTAATATAAAAGAGACACAAACTTAAATACTTTCTCTTATAAAAAGAGTGGTGGTTCCTTATTAGATGATTATAAATCTTCATGTACTTATTATATAGTCCAATATGTTCGTATATATCCCATTTATTGGGTACATTTATTGGGTATCATCAGTTGACAATATTAAAACTAAATAACTTATACATAATATTAAATAACATTTTTAGGTCTAAGGACCTTTTATGAATTATGGATAAAATAATCTTTTATTTGATAGTAAATAACTTAAGATTATTCTATAAGGTTCAATTCAATATTCATCTTATACAAATACTCACTATGTTACTAAGAGTCTAACTCTAGTGGTTGAAATTTACCCCTCTATCACTTATGGTAGTACAACATGTGACAACCAAGTTAAGCATATTATCCAAAGCATGCTTATGGTTGTAAACAATTTTAAGATCATCGAACCTTTTATTTGATCATCCCCATAATCAATTTAATTAATGTCTGATCTAAGGATAATAACATTTATTAAATCACCCAAAAGAAATATGCAAGTAAATAAATAAATACTAATGATGGCTTTGTAGGACATACAATTCTTTCAATCTCCCACTTGCATTCAAAGCCATTCGGATACATACTTCAAACCCATTTTACTCAAATGTTTCTCAAATACCTTTTGAGTCAATGGTTTAGTTAATGGGTCTGCAACATTATCTTCAGAGGCAATTTTTGTCAAATCAATATCTCCTCTTTTGACAATTTCTCTCACAATGTGAAACTTTCTTTCAATGTGCTTTGTCTTTTAGTGAGCTCTAGGTTCTCTAACCTGTGCAATAGCTCCAGTGTTGTCAAAATATAAAGTTATTGGAGATTTTATGGTAGGAATAACTCGTAGCTCTTGTACAAACTTTTTGATTCAAGCTGCCTCTTTTGCTGCTTTTGAAGCTATAATATATTTTGCTTCTATTGTAGAATCTGCTATTACATCTTGTTTACAACTTTTCCAACTAAAAGCACCATTATTTAAAGCAAAGATATACCCTAACATAGACTTTCTATCATTAGGATCTGATTGGAAATCAAAAATTATATATCCTTCAACATTTAAAGGACCTCCACCATATACTAAACAATAATGCTTAGTCCTATTAAGATATTTAAAAATATGCTTAACTGTTGTCCAATGCTCTTCTCCAGGATTAGATTGATAGCTGCTCACCACACTTACTGCTTGAGCAATATCTGGCCTAATAACATAACATTGCATACATCAAACTACCTACAGCGGAAGCATATGGGCAATTTTTCATTCTTTCTAACTCAATATCACTTTTTGGTGACATTTTCTTAGAAAGAGAAATTCCATGTCTAAAAGGTACAAAGCCTTTCTTGGAATCTTGCATGTTAAACTTGGCCAAAATTTTATTAATATATGTTGATTGGGATAAACCCAACAATCTATTGCTTCTATCTCAGTACAGCTTAAGACCCAAAATATATGTGGCATGTCCTAAATCTTTCATAGAAAAATGGTTAGAGAGCCATAATTTCACTGTTGACAACATTGCTCTATCATTTGCAATGAGCAAGATGTCATCAACATAAAGAACAAGAAAAGTAATAGCATTCCCTTGTGTTTTCTTATAAACACATGCTTCATCTAGATTTTGTGAGAAACCAAACTGTTTGATTGTCTCATCAAATCCGATGTTCCAACTTCTTGAGGCTTGTTTAGGCCCATAAATGGATTTTTTAAGCTTACATACTTTATGTTCCTACCTTTTGGATATAAATCCATCGAGTTGGTCCATATAAATATCTTCTTAAAGATAACCATTTAAGAAGGCTGTCTTTACATCCATCTGTCATATCTCATAATCATAGTATGCAGCTATAGCCAATAATATTCTAATTGATTTTAACATGACTACTGAAGAAAAAGTTTCTTCATAATCAATACCTTCTTTTTTTATTATAACCTTTGGCTACTAGTCATGCCTTATAAGTCTCCATGTTTCCATATGATCCTTTTTTTCTTTTAAAGACCCATTTACAATCAATTGTTTTGATCCCATTAAAACGGTCTATAAGAGTCCAGACCTCATTAGAATACATAGAATCTATTGCGGATTGCATGGCAATAATCCATTTATTTTTATCAATGTTTGACATTGCTTTCTTTGTATGTAAGTAGTAGGATCTTTCTCACATTCTTCTGAAATCATAGAATAATTCTCATTTAAAAAAATCAATCTTACTAGAGGCTGAACAATCCTATTACTTTTTCATGTCGAAACCATCGATTTATTCAAAATAGGAATACTATCTTGTATTTCCTTTTGGGAATTAATTTCATCATTAGGCTCCATTATTTCTTCAAGAGTAATCTTATTACTCATGTTGCAATTGTCTGCAAATTCATTTTCCAAGAAAAAAGCATTCCGACTAATGATTAGTTTTTGCTCATTTGGATTATAGGAATAATACCCAATGGTTTCCTTTGGATAGCCAACAAAATTGCATTTAATTGCTCTGGATTCCAACTTGTCTGCACTTTGTTTCTTAACATGTGTGTGACAGCCCCAAATCTTCAAGTGTTTGACACTTGGCTTTTTATTACTCCACATCTCATAAGGAGTTTTAGGGGTTGATTTAGTTGGAACTCTATTTAACAAATAAATTGCAGTTTCTAAAGCATATCCCCAAAAAGATGTAGGCAAATCCACTGCACTCATCATTGTTCGTACCATACCTAATAAGGTGCGATTTCTTCTTTCCGAAACACCATTATGTTGTGGTGTTCTTGGTGGGGTAAGTTGAGATAAAATTCCATTATCTCTTAAGTAGTCTTTAAACTCATCCGAAAAATATTCACCTCCTTTATCGGAACGAAGACATTTAATATTTCTACCCTTTTGTTTTTCCACTTCATTTCGAAATTCTTTGAACTTTTCAAAAGATTCTGATTTGTGTTTCATAAGATTCTGATTTGTGTTTCATAAGGTAGATATATCCATATCTTGAATAATGATATGTAAAAGTGATAAAATAGGAGAATCCTCCTCTAGCAGCATGGTTTATTGGACCACATACATCTGAATGTATCAAGTCTAAGACTCCTAAAGCTTTTTCACCTTTTCCAAAAAAAAGGCAACTTTGTCATCTTTCCTTGCAAGCAAGGTTCACATGTCGGATATGATTCAATTTTCAAGAAGTCTAAAGGTTCATCCTTGACTAATCTATTAGTCCTTTCAACATTGATGTGACCTAGCCTTAGGTGCCATAGATAAGTAGGAACAACCTCATCATGTTTTCTTTTGCTCAAAATATTTTCATGGAAATCCTTTTCAATGCATGCAATAGAATTAAGTGCAGGGGAAAGAAAATAAAGACCATCTTGTTTAAAATATGATGCCACAAATTTATTATTTAAATGAATGGTAACAATATGTTTGTGAAATAAAAAAGAATAACCTTGTTCATCTAATTTAGAAATAGAAATCAAATTCCTCCTAGCTTGCAGCACATAAAGACAATCTTTTAAAAATAAAATAGTTCCTCCTTGCAAAACTAAACTAAAAGTTCCTATAGAAGTTGCTGCAACTTTTGCTGATGCTCCTAAAAGCAAATTGATTTCCCTTTCATTCAACCTTCTGGTTTCTTGAAAACCATGCAATGTATTACAAACATGAGAGGTTGCACCAAAATCAATACACCAAGAATTCTCATTTCCATCGAACAAATTGGTTTCAACAATGAGTAAATTTATTAACATACCTTTTGAAGGTTTCTTAAGTGAAGCTAAGTATTGGTGACAATTTCATTTCCAATGACCTTTCTTTCCGCAGAAGTGACAAGCATCTTCTGATTTATCCCTTTTCACCTTTTTAGCAGTGCCTTTAGGGATTTGTTTAAAACCTTTGTTATTCCCAAAGTTCCTTTTCTTGTTTTTATACTTAGGCTTTAAGGACTTTCCTTTTTCTATTATCATAATTACAAGCTTCTCTTTCTTAATTAGTTCCTCAACTCTTTGCAACATATTACAAAGCTTATAAAGGGTTACTACCATCATATTCATATTAAAATTCAAAACGAATTGATTAAATGAATCTGGTAGTGAAGATAAGATCGCATCTATCTTCGTCTCATTGTCCATCTTAGACCCAAGAGAATCCAGTTTATTAATAAAGCCTATCATCGTCATGACATCGTCATGTACTGGAGTTCCTTCAGTCATCTTGGTGGACATAAGCCTTTTCATAGCAAATTGTCTTGTAGAATTTTGTTGTCCAAACATCTTTTTCAAGCTTGCCGTTATATCCTTAACAGTAGCCATTTTCTCATGTTGCTTCTGAAGCCTATTCTCAAGAGATGCTAATATATAACACTTAGCTAAGGAATCATGATCAAACCATAATTGGTAAGCTTCTTGAGCATTATCATCCACACCTGGTTCAAGCATAATTGGTGGTTCTTCATTCAAAACATAAACCAACTTTTCAGCAGTGAGTACAATATTCAAATTCCTTTTTCAATCACTATAATTTGGACCTTTGAGACGATTCTCATCCAAAATCTTTGCAAGTGGGCTAAAGTTGTTCATCTTTCTACAGAGCAGTAAACAGAACAATTAGTAATCAAATACCATAATTTATTTACATGCAAGAACCATTAAATTGGGATTTTGTATATTTAATGGTTTATCTCAGTACACAAGTTTAATAATCCCTTAAATATTAAACTATAATTATACATCTAATGTCTTTAGTGAGAAATAGAAACTTCATCTAATCACCTAATAACCTCTTTTGAAGTATATTAAGTATTTCAATAAAGCAGATACAACTTATCTATCTTATATTATTTATAAGATTCCTATTTTATTTGGTCTCAAACAGAAAAATACCAGCCACTTGTTTCAAGTCGATATGCCCTATTAGTCAAGTGTAAACCCATTATTTCATATATATCATATTTACTGTGACAATACCCCTATTTTAGTTGATACTCCCACTAGTTATGACATATCTTTTCATCTTTATGAAATAAATAATAACAATGGTAATTTTAGAAAAATTTTATCTTTTTGGCTTCAATTAATCATCAAAATCATTGACACTATTTATTAATAATGGAAGGCCTTTAGAAAATATCTTCAGAAGTTGTTTCCTATCTTTAACACTTGATATTATTATGTAATGAGGAAAAATAACCTTATTATAATGAAACTAATTAAATCTATCATATAGATTAAATCTTCAATACCATTATTAATTTTAATTCATTGGATCATATACTAACAAAATAATCAGTTGATACTAACTATTTAATATCATAGTAAAACTTGACAGTCAAGAAGTTACATAACAGTATTTAATATTAATTTTAAATCTAATTCATAATTACAAATTGCGCATCCAGCATATATCATCATATATCAAATTGGACAAATCAATGGTATAATCATGTGAAAGCCAAGAATTGAATCAACATAGAAATTTAATTGCCGACAATACATGAGTTTCGTAATTCTTGCATATGAATGTATCCATGAATGTTCAGCATATATATATACCAAAACAATATGTAGAAAATTATGCCGACTTGTTGCTAGAACATATTGAGAATTAAAAACAATTTATTTATGTATAGAAAGATGATTATAGAACATATGATGAAAGGGTCGGCTCTGATACCATTGAAGGGTTTATGATACACTTAATCAAATTAAGAATTATAAACAAATTATTAGTCCTCATGATACAAACATGTTCATGTAAGAATTAGGAAAACTCATTGAGATATCACACATGCAAAATCTTCCAAAAGTTCACACGCGATGCCTCAATTCTGTCTCCTAAAGAAGTGATGGCTTCTCCTCCCACTAGCTTCTATTTTTCTTGTAAAAACTTAGATACTCTATTGACAAATCAATAGGTCTTATATATAGGGAGTTTGTATGGTTAGACTAGAATTATAAATAGCATGTTGCGTGGGACACTTTTTGGGATCTTAATCTCTTAGCAAATTGAATTTAAATCAATTTAGGATTATAATAAAAAAAACCCATCAATAGATAACAATCTTATCCAAGAAATTATAGATAAAATTGTGAGATCCCTCAAACCATAATATTTACACAGTAGTCCTCCACCAACTAATATTCCATACAAAATCTAATCGAATTAGAATTCCTATAAAAGTGTCATCTAAAATTTGTATGTATGTCTCTTAAATATATTTAGACAATAAAAACAATTTAAAAAATAAAATTTTGATGAAATTTAATTTTCTAAAACTAAGTTAAAATATTTATTTAAATTGACCGGCTAGATTTGTGTCTAATATAAAAGAGACACAAACTTGAATATTCTTTCTTATGATAAAAGTGGTAGTTTCTTATTAGATTACTATAAATCTTCATGTACTTATTATATAGTCCAATATGTCCGTATATATCCCATTTATTGGGTATCACCGGTTGACAATATTAAAACTAAATAATTTATACATAAAATTTAATAACATCTTCAGGTTTAAGGACCTTTTATGAATTGTGGATAAAATAGTCTTTTATTTGACATTAAAAAACTTAAGATTATTCTATATGGTCTAGTTCAATATTTGTCTTATACAAATACTCATTATGTTACTAAGAGTCTAACTCTAGTTGTTGAAATTTACCACTCTATCACTTATAGCAGTACAACATGTGACAACCAAGTTAAGCATGTTATCCAAAGTATGCTTATGGTTGTGAACAATTTTAAGATCATCAAACCTTTTATTTGATCATCCCCATAATCAATTTAATTAATGTATGATCTAAGGATAATAACATTTATTAAATCCCCAAAAGAAATATGCAAGTAAATAAATAAATACTAATGATGGCTTTGTAGGGCATACAATTCTTTGAATTAACAATCTGAAATCTTTCCCATTGACGCAGAAATTTCTGATAATCAATTGATGACCATCCAAAAAAAAAAGAAAAAGAAGAAGCAAATATAGGAATAAAAGTTGAGTACGAACCAGAAAGGTCCGTGATTGTGTTGTTGAATAAAGGAGCAGAATGTAGGAGAGGGGAAGATTGGAGCAGAGGATAGAAAGCGATTAATAAAGCTTGGAACTTTGAGTTTCAGACTCAAACGCTAAATTATTGGATTTCTGAGAAAGAAAGGAAAGGAGCCTGGGTTGCAGGGCGTGGCTCAAAATAGAGAATGGACCAGAGCGTAACTGGGCTACCAAACAGAACTCATACAATGACCAGCCCGGAACAGAAATTTGCGACCAGGCCCAGCTTCTTGGTGGCCTTCGGTCAGAAAAAGTATTTAAATCCAAGGCTGAACATTGGGTATGAGTCTATGTGATATGTGCGGGGACTTGATCCATGGCTAGATGTTTTATCTGTGTATAGAAAAAGGGGTTAAATATCATATATGAGAAATACATTAAGTACTAGGTATGAGAGGTTTTTCTTTTTTTTTTTTTTCCTAATCTCTTGTTATCTAATAACTACATTGGGTTTCGATTAATCTAAAATCGAGTTGGGTCAAACCCCATTAAAAGGAAAACTCTCACAACACCTATTTCTTTATTCAAAAAAACTTGAATTTAAGATCTTATTTAAAATGAATTAAATTTTTTTCACTCGGATTAATAAGTCGTTGATTAGATATGAGAGTTTATATATGCATATTTAACTTGCATATATGATTTATATTTAATATATGTACCACCATTTAGATTTAAATCTTTATTTGACTTATAAAACAATATTTATTGACAACAAACCTATTTAATATAGTGGTTTTTAAAAAAGCTTTTTTGAATTTTTAAAAATTAATTTCAACGTTTGAAAGTTCAAACATATTGTTTTTGAAAATAGTTTTTCTTTTTTTCTTTTTCTTTTTTTTTTTTTTTGTTTTTTTGCCATTACAATTTTGAACCTAATAATCTTCATATTTTTGTAATTAAAATTCATGATTCAATACCTGTACAAAAGATGTACATATATACTCAAACAGAACTTTTGCAAAACATACAAAAGTTAACTAGGCCAGACATGTTTTAAGAATGGTATTGTGAAGAATTAATATTGCACAAGACGATAGTGGGGAACAAGAGAGGGCATGCGGTGGCTATCAGCAGATAAAGAGTGGCCTTTTCTTACA